AAATCATATTGAAATAAATTATAGCCTGTAGCAATATACAGATGGGCGCTATCAAATTGTATAGAATGTATTCCGGGTTCTTTATGCCAAATCTTATATCTCTAAAAATTTTTAAAATAGTTAATAATAGGTTACTATTAAAGTACAAAATATATAAAATTTGAAAGTGATACAAACTTGAATGTAAGCATTTTGTCTCTGATCCCATAGAAGAACTTTATCATTAATCGTCCCCGTCATAATAGTGTATAAATTATCTGTTGTAAAACATGTTAATATTTTATTTTTGGATGAACAATTCCATGTACGTACAAATTCGGATGTTCTGAAATCACAGTAGTGAATATAACTAATTGAATGGCCAATTAATATTAACAATATGATTTATTACCTTTTATCCATTTTTTAATATAAGAATCATAACACATTAGAATAGTGTGAGGATCCTCCCATAGTAGTTGGAAAGCACCAGGTTTATAACGATAATTTGAACAATCTTCTGTTTTATCTATTACGGAATTCCTAAAATTCCTTTAGATTAGTGTTTGTTGCATATTATTTCAAATATACGACTACATATAAAAACCTAAAAGACTAAAGACATGAGACCAAACTCCTGTCCTTTGCTTCTTTGAGCTGCATAACATACTGAAATGAGTCTTTCCTATAAGAACTAATGTGTAATTTGTGATCAAAAGATTGCAACAGTAGACGGAGATATCTGTCTTTCTTTCACATTTACTACCAATATGGTGGAGGATATTAAAACCAAAACAGACATGAGACACATTTCTCCATCTAATAGCGTTTTCGAATGAACGAAGTTTGATCGACCCAAGATTGATTAATGACGTCATTGCACCACCGTCTGCATCAATAAAAGACTTGAATTCATAGTAAAATAGTAATTAATCAAGCTTGAGTCGATCAAAATCCATTAAATCGTAAACATTATAATGTATCTCTCTTTTTTCCACAATGACCACCACGGCTCTTTTTGGCACACACCAGAAGCTGCGTTCCGAAATTCACTACCAATGTTGGAAATCTATAATTTTCGTTACGTATATTGTAGATTTTTAATACTGGCAATGAATTTCGGAACGCAACCATAATGTTATATAGTTCACTAATGCCCATTTTCACCAATGTTGATTAATTTTAATCTCGGTTCAACTTACTCTTTATCTTTTTCTAAGAATTAGAAAAAGATGAAGAATAAGTTGAACCAAAATTAAAATTAATCTAACGTTGGTGGAACCGAGCATAAGTTATAATTATGAACTATAGTCACTAAATCGGATCATGTAATGATGTATAT